CCAACGTATTGTTTGACAACTGTCCTCGATGTGGGGGTGCGGATTGGTGGATGCGGGAAAGACGAAGTGCGTCGGCAGCAGTGATTTTGACGTCCTGCAGGTGGGTAGAGCTGCAGCTAATCTGTGCATTTGTGTTTGGGTAGTAGCATGATATGGGCCTCGAGCCCACATGCGCACGTGTTGCACTGCGTCGGTTTGGCGTGGCTCTGGTTTGGGTGAGGCGGAATGGTGCTGCGAAATGAGTCGAGTATCAGGCGATGAAATGTGTAGGATGCCTTCTGCCAGAGGTGAGGTGGGGTGAGGTGAGGTGGACCAACGTTTGAGTGCGTCAGTTTGGTATTGCAAGTGTTGGTGTAGTAGAAGTAAGCAAGCGTCTGGAAGAGAACTTGTCGACCCGACCGACATTCCTCCATGTCTGGTAACCAATGTACCATCTGCGTCAGCCATGCCTCCGCCATTGCCCTGGTAGTGCTGCCATGCGTGGCCACGCTTCCGAAGAGAATTGGAACGCCGTATATCTGCCCACCCACTACCACTTTCGTTAGTAGCATCTGACTGACGGTGGACGGTTTATTGTACCGGTTGAGCCTGAAACTGCAAACTTGGCGTCGTTATACATGAGACATTCGAGGAACGACGCCTAGAAAGTTCTCATTCTCCGAATAGCTCTAGTTACGTGTTGGCTGCAGTTGCATGCCATCAGACCACTCGTCACTCAACAGTGGTTGACTGGGTTGGGAGGATGTCTGTCTGTTCGCTAAACGCAGCACGAGACTGGGCATGCGTAGATGACCTCAATCATGGGTGCAAGGAGAGTTACGACAGTGGTGGTCACAAATGCAGGAGGAGAAGAGGGGAAGCGTGGGGAGGAAATGGAAGCAGGGCACTACTTCTAACGACCACTGGTGTGGGGAGGCGGCGCTAAGCTAGGACGCGTCAGCTCTAACCCAGCCTTGTCATTCATGCAACAAATAACTGGAAGAATACCACTGCGTTTATTGCCTGCGTTTTTATGCACGCGGACGAAATGATGCAAAAGTAGTTCTTCTACGCATGCTACTTACTCTATTCAGTAGGAGGGTGAGTGGGTAGGCAACGAGGCAACACTTTGACCCTCACACAAATCTCGCAGACGGATTCCTCAGCACTACCTCTAGCCCGAATTGGTTGTGATTCATTAAAGGACTCCTACCTCGTGTGCGATAATGCGACCGACTGTCCGCAGAAAAGGTGTTTACCTGGCGCATGGAGAAGTGCCATCAGAGTAGCAGACATTCTGATAATCGCATTCATCCCAACGTGTAATAAAGGGATGTCTTTCTTTGTCAACTGGCAACACGAAGAATGCGACCCTTCCACCAACTGCTTGGCTAGTACTGGCAGCGTCTCAAGAAGTTGTTGCGAACCTTCGAGTTGCAGCGAATACGAGGCGAGCAAGCACATCTTCCGTCCACCGCACAGATCAAGCATGGTCCTCTCTGGGGTTAAGGTGATGCATGCCTTCGAGGGGTGAAGTTGGCGGGAGGTGGATCGCTCGACCACAAGCAATGAGATGTTCGTTTACCTGTCCATCAAACCTTCGACTACAGAACTTTTTCCTAAAATGACGCTGCATCATCAAATTGTAGGACTGATCTTGGTAAAGTTGACCACAACATCACTAAAATGTTCATTTACAGGACCCATCACTAGGGTTTGTAGACAGGTGACGAGGTTTTGCTTTGGTTACGAAGCTTCTGTTCCAAAAACTGAGGCATTTGAAAGAAGGGCAGTCCATCGGATAGCTACCGAAGGCTATCTGTCACAGTACCTCTATTCCTTGAAATAATTGTCTCTCGAGTGCTCACAACCTCGCTACAAAGTCTAATCTCACTCTAGTCGCCTCTCCTTTTCCATCTCGCTCTCATTGTCCAAGCGATTAGGCTACTTCGCCTGTGATTGTCAGTCTAATGTTAAACGAAGCACCGCCAAGGGAACATGGGGATGGGAATGGGACAGTAGGTCCCTGCCTCTGTTCCTCCCACTCCAAAGTGTCGTGTAGGGATCATCTCGAAGTCCCATTCTGAAGGAATGATAAATGCCGACTTGTGACGACTCGTAAAGGCGAGTCTTTCTCCTCTGGAGGAAGCTTCGCCTGCATGCACTCGATTGGTATCACGTGGTACCGAGCCGACAGATCTGGAAAGGATTGGGGTGGCAGCCTACAGCAAGAGGATAATTCCTAGCAAATACGTGCGACTGCATTCAGCCTTCGAGGTGGTCCTGCTTTGTCAGACGAAGTGGTGCGTGTCCTCGAGGCGTAGGATGGGCAGTGACTGGATTGTTAGGGAAAATTAATGAGACGACCGCTCGCTCAACGAACACTGGAACAGAAGAACCGTTCCCCATCACAAATGACTCAGCAAGCAAGCAAGGAGTTAAGAAGACTGCGGCGCCTACTCTCTGCCAACTGTTAATACATGACATGCAAGATCCACTTGCCTAGTGGCCTCCACGACTTCAGCTTCCCAGTAGATGCAAGTGTGGATCACCTGCCACCTCATCTATGCGATTTGCCATTGCAACGAGTGAGAGGAACTCCTGACAATGAGGCGTCTATCTCTCAGTGGTTCGTCATCAGACTCGGATTATTTACTCGCCCCATTCCTGGATGGTGTTCTGCTTGCGTACCTCTTCCAAGTGCTCCACACGTCTGTGGCGAGATTCTGGAGATTCGCACATAAATCCAAATCGGTAGAGTTGATAAGTTTTGATCAAATCTATCGGGATCTGCCGACGACTCAATAAATAAGGGTTCAAAACAGATGACAAGTGGGCATGAGTGGAGTAGGGCGTACCGCACCGATATCATGACGCAAATCCCTGCTTCTAACAATGCCGTGCGTTCCACGGAATGCTGCAAAGTTTTCTCAGTGACCTGGATTAACCGTTTTACCAGGATCTACACACTTCAACTGTTTCACAGGAAACCTGATCAAGCCGAAGCCACCTGTACGGTGCGTCTGCCTCACCTCCAATCCACACACCTCTATACCATCTACTAACACACCTTTCAGGTCAAATGTTCACACCCTTCCACTTCTGCAAACAGATGATGAATGGTAAACTTCATGGCTTGTGAGCCTGTTCCTCACTACCTTCACGCACATCAGACAAGCTTCCTGCTTTTACATTGTTAGCTGACTGGTCGAGCAGCTGCCTGACTGACTCAATGGTTGATTGACCGATCAGCCTGTGGTGGCAAACCAACCATCGGCAGTTACCAATGTCCTCCAGTGATCCAACTATGGCGAGTTCTCAGCTCCCAAACGCAACTACTAAGGAGGTTGATCCATTTTCTTGAATACACATATGGTCACTGGGATTCATCGCGAAATAAGTCGTTCAAAGGCCTGTGAATTCCAGCCAATCTTCCAAGCCTCCCACATTTCGCTTCAAACACAAGTGGCTAAACTTCCGGAGAGTGCTCGAGCCAAACCGCCACCTTCAATAGCACATGTGCCAATAACTAGACCTCTCATACTGCATACACTGGAAGGTGGGCCCAGTCACTAGTGGACGGCTCATACGGCATGGACCAGTCCACATACCGCTAATCGAGGCGACGAACAAGTCTAGTGCACACACTTACCAGCATACAGTGCCGCGGTTCCTGGTAGAGGCAACCATGAAGTAGACTACATGGATATCGACAGTGATGGAGCGTCCAACAGCAGTGCCCCTGTCAGTGATGATGCCAACCGTGGTACTTTCCGATTCCACCATCACAGCAGTCACTTCCCCGAACATTTTAGCCCTTTAAACGCCTGACTGACGCACAGCCCGACTTTAAGTTGAATAAGAAACATTTCTCCGGTAAAAAGGCAAAACGTGCGCCCTAGGCGCTTCGGGATTATTTGGCCCAAGCCTCACGGACGTAAACAACTCCTAAGGTAGGTTTGATGCCCTTTATTTATCTCGAGTCCACTTTGCACTTGAACACTACATGCACTCCATTAAGGACCTAGCAAACACGTCTAAGCCGCCCTGTCACTGGTCATTCAATCTTTACGCCTCTACCACTTTCTGTTTATCTTCCACAGGAGACACAACACAACCCATTGACATTCAAACGATCAAATCTGATTCCACCTGTCTTTTGACCACGCATGCATCTACGCCTCCTCAACTATCCGCCTACGAAATCTACATACCTTCATCCATCCCATCTCATCCCATCCATCCATCCATGCATTCCCCCGACCTTATCAAAAGTGCATCACAAAGCAATGCATTTACTCGATAAAAATAGTAGATGTCACCTAACCTTTCACAGTCCTCCAATCTTCAATCGACTCTCAGTGCGTCGTCTAACGGCCTGTGCAAATTTCGGGCGTCCATCCAGTTGTTACCCAGTGAGAAGATGGCATGCAATCCACCGATTAAGACAACTCGCCTTCTCAAATGTCTCCAATGTGAACATAGCAGCAGGATAGAAGGTCAGAAGGTCCACACTCAACTACACACTTTCGTCGAGGTCACTCTCATCGCTGGCCGATTAAACGGAAGTCATCAGTTCGTCCAGTTTGGAGCTCTTTGGGTTTGTTGTATCGGTTGGCGTCTGAAGCATCGTGACAAACTCCTCAAAAAACAGAAAGGGAAACAATTACATTATCTCCTTCCCATCCACCATTTCAAGATCCACCAATCCATCTCGGATCCAATGATTTACTTCAGGTTTGTTCCTCTGTTTGCAAACTATTCACCCACTCCTCAATCTCGCACTCATTTATTTTATTCACCCACCTAACATGCATCCGCACTATGCACACTTCTCCATGCCGAATACGTCCACCCAACCACAAAGCCATTCATCCCACCATCTGACTATCCACACATCCACGTCGTCATTCTCCACCAATTCACCGCACTTCTAAAAAGCCACCTACTAAGCTGAAGGTTGTACAGAATAGAGATCAGAACTGAAAATTAGGTAACCATGTAGTGGAAAGTGTGCATCTACTTATCTCAAGTCATCCGAACGTGAGTAAACCGTGGAGACGTTCGATTGGGGCTACCATTGGCAACCATATCTGGTCAACGAAATGAAGGTAACTTAATTAGAATCGGACTTTGAACGAATTCGGCGGCAATAGCAGTCATATTGATTGTCCTCGATAAAAGGAAAACAAATTCATCGGCCTCTCTTCCCTGTTTGCTAGATTTATATAGGCAAAAACAAATCACCACCGCAGTCGCACACCTACATGTCGCGCTACACACTCGCATTAGCAGCAGAATGTCCAATTTAATGCAGAACTATGGAGAACTTACTGTGAATGTTAGCCAAAGCCGTTTCGTAGATCCAATTTCACTTCCACTCTATTCAGCGTCTCATACGTGGACTTCCGTTTAACCAAACCTTTTGAGGTAACACACATCACAACCTCCACCAATTTCGACAAGGTAGGCGATACAGATCTCCCCTTTGTCCTCATTTCTAAAATCAATGTTAGTAATGGATAAAAATAAGGGACCTACAAGGCAGAGGCGAATATGCTTTCATCCGAGACTGTAAGCTTCCCTTTTTCTGATGGGTTTGACGAAACTAGAAAAGCAGGCTGGTCGTTGTAATTATCGCCGGGACAATAGAGAAAAGGAAAAAATAACAGGCTAAACGCGTCTGGAACACCCGGCATAGAAGGAATCTTCGCCATCCTCAGCAAGAAGTGACCACTTCGGGAGGATCATGGGAGCAACGGTGACAATCGGTCGAATTAGCAAGGGGTTCGAATTTTGTCAACATGTGGGGAACCTCAAGGAGTCCCACAAGTCTGATAGTGATGTTCCCATATAGTACACCTAAAAAGTAGCCACGTCGTTTATACCTGCCAAGAGGAAAATCGGAGAGGAGTGAACAGCAGAAAGCGCATAATTTACAAAAATTGGAGAGAAAGGCAAAAACTGTCAATTTGATTGAAGCGAAACCTCCATTGCAGTACTCTTTACCAGTCCTGTCATGTTTGGCACTTTTGGAAGGACTCTTTATGGTGTAAGCAAATTTGCAACTGAGAATCTGTAATCGCCCAAGTCTTCCAAACTGCACGCTAACAGTGACCCTGAAGGTCAGTTCAGGCTCAGTCTCGCGATAATGTGGATGATGTTAGGCATCTCATCAAATTTACAATTAATAGCGATTTCACTCTGCATACCGGTCGTAAATTGTGATAGGTTAAGGCGTCCGGGAGGCGAATAAATACAATGCAAATACATATGGCATGAACATATAACATCTGGTGAGAATTTAACTGACAAAATCAGGTAGTTAAAACCTGTATACCAACAACGGATGAACTATTTGTATTAATACGTGAGTCATTATTCTCCCGTGCAGAGAAGAAGCTTATAATTAGTTCCATATTGCTGTTTTTCTAGTGTTGAACTGTAAGTTCGGTAATTGATAGTGCTTTCAGGCGTGGGGCCTCATGAAATACTAAAGATTGGAAATATTTCCAATAAAGGAAGAACACAATAGACAAAATCCTCACCTTATGTCAGTTTGTGCAAAGTATCTGCATTGCAAATCGAAGTTTTCGCACAATCTGTCACAAGCCTGAATTTGGTAATGTTGTTCACAAAGTCAACCCGCCATTTACGTTACTTCTACTATTTTGCCCACTTTTTCACTCAAAATAACGCACACCTTTGTGAGCTGCTAAATAGGTTTGAAATAAGCAGTATTATAACAGTTAAAAAGCAGCCGATTTCCGTACTCCTTTGAGCAACGGCGTTAGTCAGATTCCTGCCCGTTTAAAATACCACCAAATCTTTTCGTAAAATCCGTTCTAGCAGATCACAAATAGTAGATTAAGTGAATTACAAAACTAGTCCTAGAATTTGACATAAGGCCTCTTCAGTCCCTATAATGTGACATGGTTTTGATAGCAGCAGACATCGACATGGGCATATTTGGCCATGATCCTCAACACGACGTGGCGTAGATGGGTTTGCCCTGAGGTTCAGGTACGGAAGTCGAGGTGCACGACTGATGAGGAGAGCTTTCGACTACCCATTCCTGGTTGGTGACGGCTGTGTGGGGGAAGTAGCGTCGTTCCGCGAAATGCGCACAAGCCCCTCTTTCCCTCTATCCAGTCCTTCGAAACCGCCTCGATTGATTTTCTTGATTCCATGAGCTTGTTGGGCAGCAATTGCCCTGCATGTTTCGGAGGTATGAGGAGTGCACGCCAAGTAGATAGGGCATATACAAGGTATAGGTGGTGATATGTCCCCTAGTAGCTGTGTCATTGAATAAACACAATTCTTCTCGGGAAAGTCAATAGAGGGCAGTCATTCAAGCGTTGTTGAGGCAAAACGTGGGTTTTGAATGTATTGAGTCGGCTAGGGTGGTTACCGTGACGAGGCCCCGATGGTGTGAAAGGCATGAAATGCGCTCCCTGTCGTGTTGTAGAGCATTCTATGCAGTGCTACTTTAGACTGCAGATGAGGTTTCGCTTGAACCCGGCAGAAGGACGCACGGTTAATCGTAACTACAGCAGACTACAAGCACTTGGTAATCAGAAATGGGGCATTGGAATGTTGTAAGCTCTTCGACGACACCTCTACGCTAATTAGTGACCGTCAACTCTGTTATACACTACTGTATGGCGGTCTCATTTAAGCCAAGTGAGGGTGAGGGAGGGTGAGCACACTCACCCATAAAGATTTAAAATGATTAATTCATTTGGCTAATGATGGCTGTCAAGACAGGCTATAACACTTGACCGACACCGAAGGGTAGAATGCGGCACTAAGTTAGGGACACATTTCGCATTGAATGGCCAGACTCTTTTCAGCCGCCTTAATCCCAGATCGAAGCTCTGAAGGCACACTGTTCCGTTGAAGTTGGCTATTTGCCTGTCATGTTAAAGTCGTCCTCTATTGTTCAGCCTCAGCACAGTCAAAATGTTAGATTATTCCGATAGATTAGGTTATTCCCTGGAATCAGTATGGGCATTTAATCTTGCGGGCATAGAGTGAATGCACATGCTGCCTTTGCGACACAATCCCCAGGAATGGAAATGGTGTCGACGCATATGCCGTGAGTCAGTGCATCCTCTATACCCTGTGTCAAGGCGCCACACGCCAGTGCTATGTGATGATGGGATCACCTGCGAACGAGTGAAGACACACAAAATACGATGACACTTGCATGCACGAAATTCTTCAGGTGCACATTTGTCTGGTACAAATTAACTAACTTGGTTGTGGTAGCACCCAGCCCACCATCACAGAGGTTATTCTTGTGAGCATTCAGTCAGAGGGTGGAACGCACGGTCTTGGCCGTCCAATGGTTGTGCGACCTGTTCTACAATGGACTTGCCAGGGAGCAAATATGGTTTGGCTGAACCGGTGGTCACGATCAGTCACACAACTGGGCGATTTTGGAAAGTAAGTGCTTGTCGGATTCGAGGATAGCATGCTATGTTTGTCCATCGCAGAGGCGTTGAATGCTGCACTGTGCCAAATGGGGACTTTGACAAGGAAGGCCATGAATTTCCAGATTTCCTTGATAAATATGCCGAAGCTGCATTCCCGATAAAATTATAAGAAGTGGGTTGCGTCAATGGGTGACCGCAATTCCTGAGGCCCGAGTTACCATCACTCTCATTATTGCTACCAAAGATATGGTCTGCCTCGGACGCTCTTTCCGTGTTTTTACCAGTTTTAGGGGAGAGATGTGTACCAGGACTGCTTGGAGTGTTCGTCCCAAGGCATGCAGCCGAGAATAATTCAAGAAACTGCTGCTCGGCATCTGAGTCGATCATTATCCCCAAATAATCTTATTTCCATAAGGGACGTTGGCGGAAACGCCCAACTTCTGATTTGTTCACAGTTCTCGAGTCAATGACACACCAGTGTCGAAAACGCCATTCTCCCGATTGATGTCACTACGCTCATGCCCACTTGTTGCAGACCTCAAACCTTGACATCTCGCGGCTGCGAAGCTGACTGGTTGTTCAACCGACCAATCACGGTGCAGCACTTGTTGAACAAATGGCAGATGGAGCGTGGCCTCCCACTCACTGACTTGCTTTGAGTACGAAGTGGGCGGCGAAAGGTCGCCACAATGGCAAATGCATTTTTTGGAACTCGGACCAGCACAACTGGTGAGTTTTAATGCCATAGAAGTGTCTTTATGCCCTAAGTCTAAGCATCAAACCAAATTCCCGACCTTTTGGTTTGACCGCTGCGTTTTTGATTCATGTGTGAGGCAAATGAGCAAATTTCTTGTTAGATTTCAAAGATACCCAATAGATATTACATGAATCCCGATGAGTAATTTTTGCACAAATTTTATGGCATATTTACTTAAGATGAATTTGCTTCTCATTGTAGGGGGTTTGCTTTGCTTGCTTATGTAATTACCGGTAAATTCATTCACCACCAGACTGTTTTAGTTAGGTAATGTGCCGTTAATGAAAATTTTTTTGGAAAATGGTGGAGCACCTCTTGCATGGCACTTTAAAATTATTCTAATTTATCCGTGAATTTTAAACACAGATCTAAACATCTCTGGTGCAGGAGCTTTTGCATCTTTCGTCTCACAAATACGTGAAGTGTCCAGTTGGACTTACTCTGTCACAAAACAAAGCGAAACGTGACTTTATAAATTGAACAAATTCTGGCGAGTTTTTAGCTCAAGAAGCGTCTCTATTAGGGGGGACTTAGAGCTCGGCGAAATATGTTTTGCAGTGATGCCAGAGCGGATACGTCGTCCACTGGGATGCTCGCATTTATAGGAATAATTTATAGTGAGTGATTTCAAACGACCAAAGAAGGTTGGAAAAGACTACTTGAAGCATTCCATTAATTGGAATAAGTGGTACCGAAATTGGCGTCAACGCGTCCTTTACCCAAAGAGGGGCAAGCTGGCTACAAGTTCCATGTTTAATTATAGTGCCTCTAGAGGAAAACAGCCCAATGCAGCCCTACACACCTCTCGTTTTGTCCCACTTGCATGTTCCCAGCTGCGTCTTCTCCTCCACTTTGTCCGCAGTCGTGTGATTTACCAAAGTTAATGCCACGAAATGGTGGCAATCACTTCGGGCTTGGAGGAAATGT